ATCCGCCAGCACATTTGCAAATTAACCCCCTCCCCATTTACCTGTCTACTTCCATGGGCATCTGTAGTCGCCCCCCTGCTGAGACTTTGGGAAAAGTGCAGAGAAGAGCAGCTAAGATGGTTAATGGCCCGGAGTCTAAAACACGTGAAGAAAGGTTGCAAGATTTGGGTTTGGCTAGCCTAGTGAAAAGAAGAAGTAGGGGTGACATGATAGCAGCATTTCAGTATTTGAGGGGCTGCCACAAAAAAGATGGGGTCGACCTATTTTCCAAAGCATCAGAAGGTAAGATAAGGAACAATGGATGGAAACTAATCAAAGAGAGAAGCAACCAGGAATTCAGGAGCAATTTCCTAAGAGTAAGAACATTAACCAGTGGAACAGCTTGCCTTCCAAAGTCGTGGGTGCTTCATTTCCGGAGGTTTTTGAGAAGAGATTGGACAGCTAGTTGTCTCAAATTTTATAGCGTCTCCTGCTTGAGTAGAGGCTTAGACTAGGTGACCTCCCAAGGTCCCTTCCAGCTCTATTCTGAATTTGAATTTGCCTTCACTAACAGCCAGTGTCAACCCTGAACTGTTCCCAGGAACTAATTTCGGCTGAAGCATCAAAATCTGGTGATGGGGGGCCAAGGACAGCATGCTTACCTTTCCCCCTCCGAGTCAGAGGACCAGCCCAAGTTGGCAATCTCATGATGGCATCCCCAGCATTTCGCTATCACGACTATGTGATGACAAGCCACCTTAGAAATAGTTTTCACAGATCCTGTCTTGCATATCTGACATAGAAACCAGGATCTTCTCGTGGATGAGAAAAAGAAAACGGAAAAGAACATATACATCTGGGCAAAAGACATTGTAATATAAAACCGAAGCTCCCTTTGGCTCAGCGAACAGCCTAAGACGCCAGCCCAGGAGCAAAGCCTCCCCTTGGAAGAGTTATGGAATATCTCTCAGGTGACCCACGCAAATCTCTGGGGCGATGCCGCTAGGGAGGGGAGGGGTCTGAAGCTCTCTTGGGGGCAAAATGGAAGCGATCGGCCACCGCTGCCTTTCCAATTCCAGTCCCTGCCATGCTCCAGGTGCTAAAGAGGCTGGACTTCAATTAACCTTTTCCCAGATCGGCCATTAGTCCATTGAGCAGGGAAACCATTGATGGGCTGGATGCCAAAACAAAGCAAGATACGCTTGAAAGGAGACCGGGAAGCCTGTAATTGTGGAGTTTGTCTGGCAAGAACAAAGAATGCTTATTCACAGGGAACATGCACCTAAAAAGCCTGTAACAATTCTGTGTGGTCAAAAAGCTGATAAAAGTAACAAAAGACTTAGGCATCTTGCAAGCTCAGCTAAGGGTTAGGAATAGGGATGGCCTGGAGCAAATAGGATGTAACTCTTCAAGCATTCATTAGCCAAGCCTGCTAGAGACCAATAGAATAATTGTTAGATTGTTATTGAAATGTTTATTAGATTATATTTCTTATATATCCCACCTAATCCTGCCTTCTGCTTTAGAGAAAATTTATTAATTCTGTGGTTCGAATGGCCAGGATCCCTTTTCTTGGAGCGCTTCATAAAAGACAAAAAAACCAGCACCTCTGTCTGCTGTTCTTCATCGGCCTCAGCACCAGGCTCAGACCCGAATCGGGGACAACAGAATCCTCAGGGTCAATCCCAAACACCTTCAAGGCATTTTCTGGGCTGCAACAGATGGGGCTGGTTCTTTTTTAAACTTTCCAGTGCTAGGCAGCATCTGTTGCGTTTCCAGAAGTGGGGAAGCAGGTTGTGTGCATCTTCCTTTAGTTTGTTCTAGGCCAGAGGTGGGGAATGATGGCCCTTTTATGACTTGTGCACTTCAACTCCCAGAATGCAACTCCATGAGCCAACATGGACACTATTTGGATGGCTCAGGATTTGTGGGAGTCATAAAAGGGCCATTGTTACAATTAGGCGATCGCCCAGTTCGTTCCTTCTCTTTTCCCACCTATCACCTGCAGAGGGCGCCAGCAGCCTCGCTCTGTTCTGCCTGCTGCAAAGATATTGCCCACAGCCTCCAGCGCTTCCGCCTGGCACAAACATGGCGCCCTCCAGTGCTTCTCGTACATTTCTTCCCCACCCAGAGGCACGATCCATCCCGTGTGAATGCAACGTACACGTGAGCAGCAGCCGATATTGTGTCGCAGGCTTTCCGGGTCCTCTTTCCACTGCTGCCTCGTTCAGGGCTTGAGGGCGCTGAGCTGCAACTGGGGATGATAAATGCCGCGCCACTTGCATTGCCCCCCCGGGCATCCCTCCAGCTCCGAACCCCATAACACCCGGCCCCTTCCTCACACTTGCCGAGGAACCAGCAGGAGGGGCGCTTTGAAGGAGCCCACTGCCGTCTTTACTGCGCGGCCTTTCCCGGCCCTTAAAGTATGTCCAAGAAGCAACTCCACTACCTGCCAGCAGGCAGCAGCAAAGGACTGGTCTTGGCGCCATCTGCTGACCCTCGGGTGCCCTGCAGCCCAGAGATGCTCGACCCCGGGTTTTCTTTGGAGGGCAGCTCTTCCTCCCAAGGAGGTGAGGCACTGGCTGGCCCTAGATTGGAGCTCAGAGGCTGAACGGCAAGAAAGTGGCCAGTTTATAGTTCAGTAACATCTTGTCTCCATTCACACAACTCCCTACATGGGATCTAACACCCCCATTCACCGGTGCTAAGTGTGGCAGTGTTGAGAAGGGCTGGATTTCCAGGGCTTTGGCTGTTGTCCAAGTCCAGCCTTCCTTCCTTCCTGCTTGAGTTCCAGCCGGCCTCTCAGCTGCCCCTTTTCTGGGCAATCCTGGCTGCAGCTGAAACCCTTCCTGAAGGAGAAGGAGGAGGCAGAACCTGTCCTCTCCTAGGAATGCAGATCAGGCCCATGAAATAGAGACCGAGAATTCTTCCGGCCGGTTCTGCTTTGCTCAAGCTGCATCGTAAATATTGTGCCCGGTTTGGGCCCCTCAAATTCTGTGCAGGAGAGTCAGAGAATTAAAGAGCATTGAGAGTTCCTTGCATAATGCATTGGGTATAAATTTTGATTTATGACTAACATTCTTCAAAATAAAACAAAATGGCATAGACAAAATCATTGCGTGTATTTTTTGTAGATTTTAAACCTACATCTGAGAGAAATCTTGAAAAAAACTGACTGGGAGAGAGTCTGCTGTGTCTCCACCAATATCTTTCTGCCTAAATTACCAAGCAGTTACAGCAAAGCAAAAATCAAGCAAAAAATGCCAGCAAGCCTCCCCCCCCACTTCCCAAGAATGGCAGGACACGATGGTGGACCTGAGAGGGTTTGTGCATTCAGTACAAAGTAATGGGGCAAAATTCACTTAACAAATGTCTAACTTTGCAATAGAAATTGTCCAGTGCTCCATCACGTGATCCTGGGTCCTACATCCAGGCCGGTTGCCAAGTGCCTGAAATTTGGATTATGTGACCTGTGAGGATGTTGTGATGGTCGTAACTGCGAGGACTGGCTAGAAGTCCCTTTTTTCAATGGTGAACAATGGTTCTCAGTCGAGCATTACCTGCGGCAGGTAAAACGAACCTGGCACCCTTTGGTAGGCTGGCTCACTACCCCAATGGTCACCCAGAGGTACCCCCAAGCCCAGCCCCAAGTCCAACGGCAGCCAATGTGATGCTGAAAGATTGTTTTGAGAATCTCTGAGGTGCCGGGAGATAGCAGTTCACCCTGAGGAAATGACGGCCTTGAAGTCTGGCAAAAACCGACTGGGAGAGAGTCTGCTCTGTCTCCACCAATATCTCCCTGCCTAAATTACCAAGCAGTTACAGCAAAGCAAAAAGCAAGCAAAAATGCCAGCAAGCCTCCCCCCCCCACTTCCCAAGAATGGCAGGACACGATGGTGGACCTGAGAGGGGTTGTGCATTCAGTAATATTGATTGTCCCATCTAGATGTAAAAGAGCCTTGACGTTAATTCTGTGTCATTCTGAAGAAAGGCATAGATCTTAAGCATTGTGGCCTCTTTCCTTAATCTGTGATCCTACTTGAGATGGAAACAGCCAATCCAGAGCTGGAGTAACCTTCAGAAAGATTGGGGTACAATATTTTATTATTGTAATTGGGGTAAATACAGTAACCTCCCAGTGCAAAGATTAACCTTTTCCTTGCCTACCTGAGGAGCTCTTACCAATTATCACAGTTTACTTATTTTATCTGATATGGCACAGTGATATAATGTGCTTATTATTTAACGCCTCCAAAAGGTTGTGGGAGGGGAATGCATTTTTCCTTCCAGCAAATTAGTCCCCCAAGTGATCAAGTTCTGTTCTGTTTCCATCATACAGCTTATGCAAGTGACTTTGGGCCAGGGATAGGCAACCTTGGTTCTTTTATGACCCGTGGACTTCAGCATGGCTGGCTCAGGAATTCTGGGAGTTGAAGTCCACGAGTTATAAAAGAGCCAAGATTGCCTACCCCAGCTTTAGGCAAACCAAGCTATTCTTGGCCAGGAAGCCACAGATGGGGACTCTGGAGCTATTTCTCCCGCACCAGCCACCAAGCCAGCCCCTGCTTTCCGGCCCCCATGGTCCAAGGGCCCTTGCACCTGCCAAGGAACCAGGGCTGTGGAGTCAGAGTCGAGGAGTCGGAGGAAATTTTGGGTACCTGGAGTCGGAGTCGGCAAACAATGAACCGACTCCGACTAAATTTAGATTGGAATTAAAAAAAAAGCAAGTTTAAATGTCCCAATTCACAAAAAGTTATAATTAATGACTTCTCTACTGTAAGAATAAAGACCAATGCATGCAGTGCCTCACGTAACCGCAAAACGAACATGTTAAGTGACCGTGAAGAAGCATGCTTTTCATGTGCTTCACTATATGGCACGCAACGCACAATTAGGAGCGGCAATACTTATACTTTCCATAGTGTTGTGTTCTGCTGTTACAGGGAACGCAGCGCCCATGGGTAACCTAGCCTCTCACTGATAAGGGATTAAGTAAATATGTTTTTTGCAGGACTAGAGACCAGGGCTTTTTTTCTCAGAGAAAAGGTGGTGGAACTCACCTCCCTCCCCTGGCCACGCCCCCACCCAAACCTGGCCACGCCCTCATCAAACCCTAGGACCGCCCCTTTAGAGAACAGGAATGCAAGTAAAATTTGGGAGGGGCTATAACCTTAGCCTATTTCCCGCGCTTGGTGGGAAACCCCGCCCTCCTCTGCTC